AACATTTCTTATTCAACGGCGATTAAAATTATTTATATTAATGATGTCTCCAAAGTTCAACGAAGTTTTTGCAGAAAAATAACATCAGAAATCGCGGCCGCGATTTGCTGCGCTGTTCCGCGACGAAAACAAGCTTGAGCAACGGCGATGTCGAATGGTGCACACTCGGTAAGTAATCCTACAATTTTTTGTTTATAGCGTAGTTTATACGGATTATTTCCAAAAAAATATACGTATTTTGGAAATGCTGAGTCGGATTAGTCTAGAATCGATTACTTTTATGGAAGAAAACCTTTCAAACAGCCGTAGTCCGTAAACTTCACACGTGTCGGGCTGTGATTGGCTGTGATTCCCACAAAATTGATTCATAAAGAGCGAACGTATCTACCGTCTTATAGGGGGATCGACTGTATCATTATTTCTCACTTACACCGGCAAATGTCAACATGCAGCATGCACTGATGGTGAATGTTGAATAAAAATATTTTTATTACGTTAAGACAAAAATGCAACTTTTTAATATGTCAAAATAGGAGAAAGCTTAAGTAACAGCACATGTAAATAAACTGTTAAACTTAAAACAAGCGGCACATTCTAAATCATTAAAGAAAATAATATAATAATAAACTTACACTTAAATTATGTGATTAACGTTATACAACCTTATTTATTGCAACAACTTAAACTGTTATGGCACTTTGAATTGCACAAGACTCCCTTGCTTTTACAACTGCATTTATTCATGGAACACTTCTTTTTGCAATGACAGCGTGTATAGCATTGCCCTCCACTTTTCGAATTAGCTGCAGCTGCTTCTCTCAGTGATATTTCTTCGAGAAGAAATATCACTGAGAGAAGCAGCTGCAGCTAATTCGAAAAGTGGAGGGCAATGCTATACACGCTGTCATTGCAAAAAGAAGTGTTCCACGAATCTATAGAAAGCAACTTTATTTTACAAATTATGAACTCATTACGGGTATAAAGCTGCTTGAGGTACCATTTTTGTTTGTTAATTTATAAAACTCGGAGTCTTCTATTCCAACAACAACCACCAACACATTTCGGGCATCTGTACGGCCACGGTCGACATCAGGAACTTGTATTTGTGCGGTATCACCAATTTGAACAGAAGGAAACGACAAAGAATTTGGCGACAGACTGTCATCTCTCTGTCGACATCGGCTTCTCGAGTGTCGTTTCAACCTTCACAAAAGCTTATCTGTGTTTGTCAACATACACCGGCGAGTGTTCGAATGTATAATAATATAACCAAATATTCGGTCTTACATCAACGTATTTTGTATGTGTCGACATTCACAGGAGAATATCGACATTCTCTAATTTCGGTCTTTCACAGTAACATGTGCTTACCAAATACCATTGTCATCATCAAACGAATCAATAAATGTGAATTTATATATTCGGTAGATGTGTCAAATTTTAATGTTTAAATTAATCAGTTTTTTAAAATTGTTTTATTTTGTATTTTTTAAAAAATAATCTGAATCGTCGTCATTATTACTATTCCGGCAGTTATACACAGAGCCGGCCCTACCATAGGGTGAACAGAGCAGCCGCTCCAGGCGCTAAGCCTTAGGGGGCGCCTCAGTGGTAAAGAAAATTAAAGGGTATAAATTAGGGGCAACCAAGGGGGACGCCGTAATAGGATCTCGCTCCATCCTAAAACTTGCCTCGGCCGGCACTGGTTATACAGTATAAGCCTATAACAAAGGAAAAGAATGACGATCACTCAAAAAATGACTTTCCCAAATTTTTACTTTTTTGGACTCGGGAAGGCCTCGAAATGTAAAGAAGTGCAAATGCATTCGGGTTTTTTTCTGTAAGCGTGGATGTTAGAATGTGTACCAACCGATTTACTTCAACTATTTTGAAGCTTAACTCCTGTGTTAAACCATCTGACTCCGATTCAAAATTGTGCCTCCCATACAGTCTAACATTCGTACATGCAGAAAAAAAAACCCGAATCTTTTGCATATCTCGACATTTCGAGGTGTCCCGAGTCCAAAAATGCAAAAATTTGGGGTCATTTTTTGACCGATCGCTACATTTTTCCTCTGTTATATATAACAGCCGGTAAAATAAAAATTATCGAATACATACTTATATATTGTCTATGTCATTACTTAGAGGAGTATTTTAGCTCTGGTATAAAAAAGTTTCTACGTTCTATCTTTATTAGAACTATATTTATTGAAGCTTATATTCTGAGGTCATGTGATGACTTCAGAATTTTCGGGCCTACTTTGTTAACAAGTCCGCCCCTGGTCGGAGTCGGAGTCGTGTAAAAATCTACCGACTCCACAGCCCTGATTAAAATATTCTATTAATCTACTAATCGAACTTTAATTTACTCAGGTATATTCATCAACAAATAAATTAAATTCAAAATTGTCAACGCAAAATACAGCTCTCGAGTCTTATGGTAGCTGCCATCTTGTTTGCTGGCGTATGGAGTACCAAAAAAGACACTTGCAGTTTGCTGGCAGCTCGCTAGCAGAAACCGGAAAGTTACCTGAGATTTTGAACAGAGATGCTGAGAGATGTTGTCTACGCGCTGATATTTCAAATACTACCATAAGCCAGAAAAAAAGATGATCCTTGCACTGGCCAGACGATCATTTGCCGCCACGGAGGAGGAGGATATCCTTGTGTCTGCCAGCCACAGAGAGGCGATCCAAAAAAAGAACAAAACACATGAACAAAGCAATCGATGCCAGTTGTTGTTCAGTTTTGTTTGTTTTTCGCGCCCATTTTCCGTTAGGCGTGTGCAATGTTTTTTTTATTTCATTATTTTAGGCACGTACAATCATGCCATTGGACATTATCACTTTGTCGCCACTGTATCTGGAAAACGAAGTCGTGGCTTCCCATTTTTTATTAAAGTTTTGGATTCCTCACCGCAATTAATGGAAAACGGCGGTTTAATCAAAATCGATTCACCAAGTATTAAGAATGAAATTGATCCTATAAGCCGCATAAAGAGATTTCGCTAACGCTCCGCTTCATTACTTTGCATTGCCAAATCAATCAGTCAATTACTTGAGAATATAACTTTATTAATATATTTAAAATATTAAAATTAACAATTTTTACTGAATTTTGCTTTACATATTTAATTAAATTATATTTGTTAAATTTATAACAGTAATGGAAACAGTAATCCTGATAAGAGCAAGGACGCTATATGGGGTAATGGGTCGATTTTGGATCCAGCTGCAATACAATTAATTACATTAAGAAATAAACGTCCGAAAGAAAATTTAGCAAAATATATATTGATTTTAAATCCATAAAAAGAAATTCACTTACTTGTAGCATTCTTTCCATTCATGATATCTTTGCTATCATTCCCTCTATCATCATCTTTAGTTTCTTTAAAATTGGTACAGGCAAATGTTTCTTCAGGTATACTTTTGTCTATTTTAACTATAAAGGAAATTTGGAATGTTTTTTTTTCCTATTGATATAAACATTGATATAACAAAAATATACCAGAAGTTTTTAATAAAATATCATAACAGATGGTGCCAACACAATTTTAAATTCTTTTGCCAGGAAAGTTACATAACTTATTGCTGGATCTTTTCCACTGCATTTACAGTGGGTGATTGGTTAACGAACATAATCCGTTCCAAGACTTTGTTCGCTATCCGAATTGTTCGTTAACCGATTATCGATTTACCATAGGTTTCTATGGGAATTTGATTAATTCGTTCTGGAGACCCCCCAAAAAATAAAAATATATATACTTTCTTACTACGTTTATTCACATGTAATAATAAAAATACATATTTACACAGGCTTGCATTTTTATTAGTCGTGTTTTTCCGTTTGTGGGGGTTAAAGAATCTGTCCAATGTCGAGTGCTTTTCTGTCTTCTTCATGATTTTTCAGAAGTAATTAATAGCATTGTAATTGTAGAGATCTATAGGCCTATTAACCTCAACCTGGTTTGGATGCCATTTTAAGACCGTTGTTCTGACATCCTCCCACTTCTTCAAAAGATCTTTAATAGCAGATATCGGCATAAATCCGTATTTTCAGAAGAAAACGTAAAAGAATTGTTTCTGTCAGAAATATAAAAGGCTGGAATTACAAGGGAGAGTTTCAAAGTTCGGGGGAATACTATTCGATCAGTATATACTGGGTAGAACGTCGTTGTCGACGTCTCCCGCGCTCCGAAGAGTTTCGAATTGTTGCCTGAGACAAAGGAAGACCAATCGGTATTCGTTATTTACGCGCTTCTTCTTGTGTTTGTTCAGTGAAGTATTCGTTATCCGAACATGTGTTCGTTGTCTGATCATAAAAATCTTTCGCGAAAGTGTTCGTTATCCGATTTGTTCGTTAACCGATCACCCACTGTACTTGTAACCCGTATTTGTTTGTAAACTCAAGTGGAGAGGAAGTGGATGCCAGCTGAGAGTGAGAGGTGAAAAAGCATTAGTGTGGAAAAGACATCTGTGTAGCGACACCTGATATACAGGATGGGTAGAAAGTAACTAGGCATTGAGAAATTGCTAATTTCTATATTTTGAATGCAAAGATAAAAATTATTTGACATGTACCTTATTAAGTGAAAATAAGGATGCATACCTTAAAATTCAATGTAGAGACTGACACCATCCATCAACTTCTCAAATGATTGGGGATCATGATATGAACGGACAGCCATTTCTCTGTGCAACCACAACCAAACCTGTGGTCATTAGTTTCGTACAACAATTCTTCATTGTTTCTGGACAGATTGTGACACGATGTAAGCCACCATCTCTAGAAACAGCAACCACTGATTTCCAATACTCATAGTGTACATCAATCTGAACTCACTCCTGAATAGAAAAGTGGTTGGCCATCTTTTTTGCCACTATACATGCAACCTCTCTCTATCACTGCCCATACCACCAATACAGGAATAATAAAATTCCACTGATTAATATACATGAATGCACAAATATTATTATGATTTTATTATTATTACAAAAATTATAGCAATTTCTCAATACCTAGTTACTTTCTATCCTACTGCCTGCATGTATATTTTTATTTATATAAAAAGTGTACAATGCCATAATGTTGTAAATGCCATTTTTCTCTAAATACATTTTATTGAAGAAATGAATTCTAAACACAATTCTTTCTGCTGTGAAAAAATATTGTGGCAATAGCAGAAATGTGAGTAGTTGTATTTTTAAGTTGAATTTATGTTCAAGCCATAAGATTTTAAGCACAAAAGTGTGAGTCACGTGTCTTTTGGCACTTGAAATGCTCCAGCTTATGTTTACATCATTTTGTTATTCCAGAGAATTTGTAACAGTGAGATTTTTATCATTTTCCTTCAAGACTGAAGGAATTCATTCACTAGAAAAAGTGTTTTATATCTCTCCTGAAGAGTTTGTTTTTTGGCATTTACAACATTATTTCATTGCATGCATCATACATTAAATTTAAAGTTTTTCTAATAAACAGTTAATTACTGCAGGAGCAATATATTACAGGAATTTTAAACAGGATACAATTAACAAAAAATAGTGACAGAAATTCCTCTCTCTCTCTCCTAGCAGTATTTTCTAAATAATTAAAATTTGTAAACAAGAAAAATTAATAATACTTACTTTCTTTCTTCAGTCTAGTACATTGTTATCAGATGCACATTGAACATGCTTTTCTATCCCCAAAGGTGCATCTGCAAAAGGATGACTGGCCATTTGTTCCATTTCCACAAATTGCTGCTGACAATAATGATTATTATTAAACAATTTCGGAATTATTGATAAAAAAATTAAACACAAAATTAAATTATTAAACATTATTTCAATGAAAAAATTTAAATTACCTGTCTTCTTCTATAAAGATCATATTTTTGTTTAATTTTCCATAAAACTGCAGCAATAATTATGAGAGACAAGAAGCAACTAGACAAGAATAATAATTTTAAAAAGTATTTTTAAATATAATTATATATAATATTTATTTAATAACTAAGTACTGTAGTACCTTATACTTCGAATGACTCTAACTTTAAATGTTCCAGACTTCAAACACTAAATATGAGAAAAATTTAACCTGAAGTTTAAAAATGCTTTTAAGTTCAAACTGCACATGCAAAAAATGCACTTGCTGCATAAACACCATCCAAGCAGTCTTTTGCTCTCACTGTGAAAGCATCTATTGCATGATCTTGCATGTTTTCAATGCTTTCTTTTGCTTCATTTTGATGTGTTTGATTATATATATACATAAAAATCCCTACCTATTAACTATGACATCCAAGAAGTGTGTGGAAGCAATTAAGTGTAAAAACGAAACTTATCATGAAGCATGAAAGCAATACATATATGGTGGATCTGGTGACCATGTTTAAAATGTCAAAGCCAATGGTGTTCAACATTCTTAAGAACAAGAAAGCAGCAAATGTGAGTAAAGGAGATAGCATGTTTATTGAGGAAATGAAAAAACTCCTAGTGTGGATAAATGAGAAGCAATTGGCTGGTGATATCTCTGTGAGAATTATTTATTAGAAAGCCAAGCAGTTACATAGTGACCTTAAGAAATGCCATCACCACTCCTCAACTAAGATACAGAAAATGCAATTTTCATTTTATTATCCAATATTTATATATTTTATTTATAGTTTTCATGCTTTAATTTATCATTTAGAGCAGGGGTGTCCAACCTTTTTGTTTCTCTGGGCCGCATTGGAAGAAGTCAAGGAGTTTTGGGCCACAAGTATATATAATATATACTTGTGGCCCAATATACAAGTATATTTAAAAATTAACGTGTCTAGATTATAATAATAAGTATTAAAACTTTATCAAGAAAAAGGATATTTTAAAAAATTACTTCTACAGACACTTTCAATTTTTACTTAGAAATAGATAAATTCATTTATTATAAAAGAGACAAACGAAAATTTATTTGAAAAACACAAATATTTGTTTTATTTGGGTCTCTAATTAATAAAAAGCGACGAAACACCATTTTAAAGTGCATTTTTATTCAACTAATATATTTATAAATAATATGTAGCCCAAAAAGTAGCCAAAGCGCCAAATGATATTTTTTACGTCAAACAAAAAAAAGTAGCCACATTTGGCGCAATGTAGCCAAATCTTGCAACGTTGGAAGAAATACTAAATAAAGCTGGAGTTGTGAATCAAAGGATTATAGACCCAAGTGCGGGGAAAAAGAGGCAAAGGACAAAAGATAAAGAAGTGAAAAAGGTTGAAAAATTACGGGTCCATATTTGCTTAACAGAAGATCTATTTAACGTTTCTCACTACTACATCTTTTGTCCTTTCTCATCTTTCCCTCCTTTTCCCAAATTTGGGTCTATAATCCTTTGAGTCACAACTCCAGCTTTATTTAGTAATCCTTCCGCATTCACACATCTCCAAGTATTTGAAAATATTTTCTTTCCACTCAAAAATAAAATATGAATAAAGGTTTACGGCTATGTGAAACTTTTTTTTGAGTTTATGCCGTTGAAATAAATAAATAATAAAAAATTAAAACATTTGTCCGTTTTGTTTACACGTTTATTGGGCCGCATTGGAACTTCCCTTGGGCCACGGGTTGGACACCCCTGATTTAGAGCATTTAATTGTTTTTTTTTTTTTTTACCTTAAATTATATATTTTCTGGCTAAGTTTATTAAAATAGTTAATGTTTAGAATCTGGAAACAAATTAATTCGCTTTCTATTATTTCTAATCAGGAAAATTGTTTTGACTTCAAACAATTTAGAGTTCAAATGGCCTCCTGAAATGAATTATATTTGAAGTATGAGGCACTACTGTATTTATATCTAATCTAAATGTATAAATTAATAAATAATCTGATTTTGCTAATGCAATGCAACAATGTGTTGTTTATGAACTAATTCAAAAAATTATAATTAATTTGTTTTTAACTTCTACATTTGTAGAACTATTTTGCATTAAAAACATTTTCTAAACTTATTTTTATCAAAAATTTCATGTACATATATACATTTCTGAATAAATAATCTATTCTGATAAAAAATCATTGTTTGAATTTATCCCTATTACATGTTTAATTTCTTTTTGTTTCTTTTATTCATAATCATTATTATATAAAGTGAATGGCAGAAGTCAGGGCCAGATCATCGCATAGACAAATGAGACAAATATCTAGGGCCTGGTTTTTTGAAGGCCCTGGTTAAACTGTCTATTTTGAAAAGATTAGTAAATAAGATAATTTACTTTTCTGTTGGACAACTGTATACAAGGTCTGTTCAAAAAGTATCGGACCTTTATTTTTTTCGCGTAAACGAATGATGCGCGAGAGGCCTCCTTCGGTGGAGTTGTGGAGGGGACAGTCATGCACAGCCCTGAATTTTTTCCCGCCTGCAGGAAGCGTCAGTCGTTGGCAATCGGCCTATGAGTGAGGTCATGTAGTGCGCTTTCGTCGGATTCCACTAAGTTGGAAAATGACTGAACAGCGTGAGCAGCGATATTACATCAAATTTTGCCAAAAACCATGGCGATACCCGAGTGTAAACCATTCGCAAGATTCAGCAGGCTTTCGGGGACGATCCTCGAGGCCAAAAAAA